CTGCCAGCCAACCATAGCTCAATTGGTAGAGCATCAGACTGTAGCGGTTGTAAGCAATTATCTGAGGGTCGCTGGTTCGATTCCGGCTGGTTGGACACTACTCTTTTGCCCCCGGCGCCGTTTGCGGGCCCGCCTTTCTCTTTTCTCGTCACCTTGCATGTGGACCACATCCATATCCTCACACACACACACACACACACACACACACACCGCAACACAGTCACACGTAACCTCCGATTGGTGGCGGTGCGTGTGCGCGTGCGTGTGCGTGCGCGCGTCCACGACGGCTTCCGTTTCGCAGTCCCTGCCACCTGGAGATATTTCTCCTGTCTGCGCCGTAAGCTCCAGGAGTCCTTTATGTTCTGAGAAATCAAGTGCCGGTTCAACCAACCATAGCTCAATTGGTAGAGCATCAGACTGTAGCGGTTGTAAGCAATTATCTGAGGGTCGCTGGTTCGATTCCGGCTGGTTGGATCCTTCCTTTTGATCGTTTGGCCTGACGCATCTTTTGCACGAGGAGTCATCAAGGGGGCTGGGGGGAGGGGGTGTGAGGGAGAGGACCAGGGGGAGAGAGAGAGAGAGAGAGAGGGAGAGAGACGCGTGCTCCTGGGGTGTGGTGTCGGGATAGAGCGTCTGTCCGACATGATATGTCTCTTTGATCTCCCCCGGGGTGTCCGCCCACCCATTTCTCTCTCCTTGCTAAAAAAAAGTTCCCCCCATCCCCTCCTACCTAGAGGCGCACCTGTTGTCGGCAAAAGGGTAGTGTCCAACCAGCCGGAATCGAACCAGCGACCCTCAGATAATTGCTTGTAACCGCTACAGTCTGATGCTCTACCAATTGAGCTATGGTTGGTTGGGAGGTCAGACACCCAAAACGTCTTAAATAGATTCAGGTGCTTGCCCAGCCGCTGGCGCGCCTCGCCTTTTTCCCTCAGGCACCTGCCAGCCTCCCCCGGCTTGGGGGCGGCGCGCCTGTCCACCCTGTTACTGAGAGCCTGACCCCTCTGCCACTCGGCGCCGGGCGAAATGAGACGCAGCGGCCACACTGTGGGGCGGGGGGGAATGGGCCGCACGGCTTCTCAGCATGGCCCCCGGGAAACCGTGGCAGCTGGCCAGACGTGAAAGCAGTGCCAAAGAGTGCCTGTCTTCCACCCTCCACTGCTGCCATCCTGAAGCACATATCCGCGGCCCTTGCGGGACTCAGGCAAGGGATGGAGGAAGGTAAGAAGGTGTCTCGTGAGGTGACTTCGAAATTCCGAAGCGACTTGAGCACCAGATGCTGGCGCTCTGCCAGCCAACCATAGCTCAATTGGTAGAGCATCAGACTGTAGCGGTTACAAGCAATTATCTGAGGGTCGCTGGTTCGATTCCGGCTGGTTGGACACTACCCTTTTGCGGCTCAGGGCGCCTGCAGTCGGTTTTCTGCCGCTCATCGTTGCCAGACGGTGAGGAGGAGGGGGGGACTGCGCGACAAACAGCCGGGGTTCCTCCGAGAACCCGGAGGGAGGAGGAGGAGGACAGGAAGCCACGAGGAGAGAGAGGGGCGACTTGGACCGCGGGGAAGGAGAGGGGGGGGGGGGGGGAAAGGCCGGTGGCGGCACACCAGAGGGACCGATGGCTGAGTCTCGAACACCCGGGGGCGGGGGGGGCCGGGTGATGTGCCTGCATTGCGCATCCGTGGATGTGCATTTTCCCGTGTCCCTTCCTTCTCCCCTCGGGGGCCCCTCGTGGCGGGTGGGTGGGCTCCCCAGACCGCGGAGATCCTAACCGCACGAGGGAGGGACAGTCTGCAGTCGTAGACTGTATACTGTGCTCTCGCTGAGTTTTCTAGAAAAGGGACGTGATACAGGAATAACATTCCACAGGTACTCGGAGGCACCCCCCTTTGCCCCCCCCCCCCGGAAACCACTTTCCCTCCGCTCGGTCTTTTCTTCCCAGCCCTTCCTCAGTCTCGCCCAGGGAAAGCGCCGGCGAGAAGGGACGGGGCACTTGGGCCTGGGCGAGATTTGCATGCCGGGCCTCCCCCCCCCCCCTCTCTCTCTGTCCCGGGGAACTGGCCCCTCGTCCCTGTTCCGCAGGCGCGGCCACCAGGGAGGGGGGGGCGGGGACAGGGTGGGCAGGGGACCCCAGACCCGGACACACGCGCTCACACGCGCACACCTGCTCCCCATTGTGGGTTTATGCTCTGCGCACGCGGCCGCGCGCGCGCGCGCGCGCGCGCATGCCCCGAACAACCTCCCCGGGGCGGACTCCGGCCGGCGGCCGCGGCCCTCTCAGAGCGCCTTCTTTCTACACAAGCACACCATGGACGACTGGGGTGCGTGGCCTGCCCATTCCTTGCGGCCTGGGCCGATGCCGGCACTCGGCAAAAGACCGAGGCCACCGTGACTGACCGTGCGAACCCCGGCTTCCTCTCCCCAGATAACGACGACTTCGAGGTGAAGCTCAACGATGCTGCCCCCGCCTTCGATGACCAGCGCGAGCTGGAGGAGGCCGCTGAGCAGCGTCGCCTCGAGGAGGAGCAGAAGGCCAAGCTCGAGGTACGCACCCCGGTCCCCGACCGAGGGCGGGTTTAGCCCTGGGCCCCGGCCGCCACCCCTGCTGGCGCCCCCGTCGTGGCAATGGGGCGAGCGGAGGCCATGGCCATGCGATGGGCACATTCATTGACCGGAGCCCGCTTCTTATCCACCTCCCCTTCCCTGTTGGCCCAAATTGGATCGATGCAGGCCGAGGCCGCTGCCGCCCGCGCCGCCGCCCGTGCCGCCAAGGCCAACAAGCAGACCGCCAGTGCCCCGGCCCCTGCGGCCGAGCGTCGCGCTGCCCAGGTCCAGGAGCAGATTGACGCCGACTGGAACGCCGCGTCCGACCTGTTCGGTGGTGCGCCCTTCTTCTCTTGCTTGCCGCACCGACAGCATTTCCAGGCAGTCCCCTCTCCCTCTCTTCCCCCCCCCCCCCCCCGCGGAGGCCCTGTAGCTGATCCATGTCCCCCCCCCCTCTTCCCCCCCCCCCCCCCCCCGTGCATCTAGACATGAAGACCACCATCTCTGATCGGACCAAGGCCGGCATGGAGGAGCTCGCCTCCAACATTGATCGCCAGATCGCCCCGATCAAGGTCCGTCTTGCGACACACTGCCCGCCCTTCTTCGAGCGCATGTACACACCGCGGGGGGCCCCCCTCACACTGCCTGTGACATATGTGCACGCATATGCCACCCACGCACACCCGCTCACCTGCAACTGCAGAAGCTTCGCTTCATGTATCCCGAGTTCCTTGAGCGTCTCTTCCGCAAGACCGCCTCCGAGGCCTCTGAGCACGACCTGCGCCAGCTGTCTTCCATGCTCGCGCGCATGGCCAACCAGAAGAAGGTTGACGTCCGGGCCAAGACCGCCGCCCCGAAGGCCGCCACCGCGGCCTCCAAGCTGCCGGATGTCGCCCGCCAGGACGACCGCATCGGCTCGCAGCTGATGGACTACTACGGCGGCGAGGAGGACGCCTTCGACAGCCACGACGATGAGGACGAGGCCGGCGACGACTATGACTTCATGTAAGTGTCTGTGCACGCCCGCCCCCTCCCCTCGGCGCGGGGCCGGTCCGCCCCAGGCCGCCCCCTTCCTCTCTCTCTCTCCCTTGTCCCTTGGAGCAGCAATTGCTCTCTTCTCTCCCTCCCCCACCCCTTTTCCTCCACCCCTTCCCTGCGTTTGGGATGCGTGTGTATGCGGAGAAGGTGCCACCCTTTTCTTGATACATTAATATACGAAATCCCCCCCTCTCTCCCCCCCCCCACGCCCCAATGAGCAAGCAGCTGGCCTCAGCTCTGCCCCCTCTCCTCCTCGAGTGGTTGGGACGTGGAAAAAGACCGCGACTCTGGCAAAAGGAGCGGGGCCAGGGAGCAGGGCGCGAGTGGTTCTCGCGGGTGGATTCCCTTGGCGAGAGGCGGGGGGTGGGGGTGGGCAGGGCCGGGCGGAGTATCTTCCTCACAGGGGGGGGAGCTCAGGAGGAGGGGGAAGGCAGAGAAGGAGAACTGGAGCGCCGCACAGCCCGCCCGGTGGATGGACAGTATGTGCCATGGGGGATCATGTGCCACATCATCTGAGAAGGAATGCAAATCACACGCCCAGGCACTCCAAGCGAGTTAAGGGCCGCGGGCTGGGGCGATTACGGCTACGGCCGGCGTTATGAGCATGCTTCACCGCGGCCCGGTGGTGGGTTGTTCTCCCTGCTCCGGAGGGAGGTCCGCCCTTCCCGGGGGGCCAAGCGACACGGTTGGGCCCGCGGCCTCGGGGGGGGGGGGGGGGGCGTCCGGCCAGGAAAAAAAAGAAAGAAAGAAAAAAGGCGCCACATGCCCCCGTCCCCGGGCTGAGGGAGGGTGTGGTCGCCTCCGGGTTCTGCACCATTGGCCTTCCTGAGAATGTACGGTCCTCCGCGGTGGGGGGAGGGGACACCGGCGGCGGGGCCGCGGCGTGGTGGAGTATTCCTCCGGCGTAACGTGCTCTCTCCCCGCCCCCGCCCCCGCTCCCTCTCTCCCGGCCGGCCGGCGTGGTGCAGTGGCAGGGGCTGCACCTTTCCTGGCAACCGGTGTCCCTGGTGTTTGCCTCCGCCCGGGGGCAGGAGCCAGGCATACTGGCGACAGCGCGGGGACTTTTCTTTTTGGACCGCGGGTCTCGAGCATTTTGCGCCTCCCGCCCGGGGGGGGGGGGGGAGCGGGAGAGCCGCGCCCGGATGCCCTTTGCTGTGCCGCAATTCGGTCCAAAGGGCGCGCGCACCGGGAACGCTGCGTCCCCCCCCCCCCCCCGGTGTCCACCCCGCCTCCGGGGGTCCATTGACACTAGCAGGGCGCTCATGCATGGGAGGCCTGAAAAATACAGGTCTCCAGGCTGCATGCCAACGAATCTCGCGGCGCTTGAGGGTGCGGTCTTCCAACCGTGCGCCACCTGGCTCGGGGAGGGCCGCGAGCCGAGGCGGGGGGGGGGGGGGGATATATTATTATCCCTGGCCCTTCGCCGGAAGGGGGTGTCGGTTGCCATCCGACCGGTCCCCGGGCTCCGGGCCCACTCGGCGCATGATGTGCGGCGACCCGAGGGCCCGGCGTTGGCTGGGCCGACAGGGTGGGGCGGGGCCGGGCGGATGGACGTGGGCATGAAGTCTGGCCTTCAGCTGACCGTGTCCGTCCTGCGTGTGTCCGTGCGTGCGCCCGTGCGAGAGGCGCGGGGGGCATTCGCGTGCGTTCGGCTGCGCTCGGGCGGCCGCACCTTTTCGGCGTGCGTGCCGCTCTGCCGCTATTCGGCGTGTGTGTCTGCTGGCTGTGCTCGGAGTGTGGTGTTTCATTTGGAGTTGGTATTTTCAAGCTCCCCATTGATCTGGCATCGGGTGAGAGGGTAATTTTGAGCGACTGCTGGGGCATTGGTTAGCCCGTCCTTCGGGCTCTTCTCGGCCCGCCCGCTGGCCTCGCTCTGCTTCTCCCTGCGGCAGGCTTTGGCTGCGCGTGTGTGTGGGGGGGGGATCTTTGACGGGGCTTCGCCACGTTATGGGGGCGGGGGGGCAGTCGCTCCGGCTCCTCCGCGCCCCGTCTGGATGGTCGGGTGGTGGCGCTCCCCCCCTCTCCCCGACCCCGCGCCTACCCCAGGACAGGTGCCCCCCGCTCCGTGGAGTGGCGTGGGGGCGGGGGGAGGCGGACGGCAAACATACGCACGCACGCACGCGCGCGCCCCGCCCCCCTCCCCCCCCCCCCCCCGGTCCCCTTCCCCTCGAGGAATTGGCCCACGGGAGGTGTAGGGTGTTCAGGAAAAGCACGATGACGGTGGGGCCTACCCTCTTTGTAGTTGGGCCTGCTTTGCGGGAGAAGGGGGCATTCTTGTGGCGCAAGCACGGCCCGGTGCCACTTTTGGGGCCAAGTCCTCTGTGTGCTGGCCGAGCTCGTCCCGGGCGAGCCGAGTCGGGGTGTGGCTGTTTGCTGGTGTGTCCCTGTGCTCTCCGAGAACACCCAGGCCATGGGCACCTCTCTGCCTGGGCCTCTTTCTCCCCCTCGGCGCCCCTGGCTCCCCGGCCCCGATAGGCCTTGCTGTGTGTATGTGTGTACGTGGGGGGGGGGGGGGGGACACGTGCAAGACGGCGCGTTCAGCAGTCGAAGGCATGCTACTCATCCGTGAAGGCCTCGGCCCGGGCCCCCCCCCCCCTCCCCCGCCGCTCCTCTTGTCCCCCACTTCCCCGCGGCATGCTCCTGACGTCGTGTCGAGTGCCCGAGGGGAGATGGAGCGGGGGGGCGGGGGGGCGGGGGGCGCATCCCTTTGGAGGTACCTATCGCGACGCCGGACCCCAGCGGGTCGCCCGAAACAGGTGGATGCTAGCGCACATGAATGCTGTGAGTGGCTGCCGGACGGCGAGTGGCCGGCCTTTTTTTCAATCCAGCAGGCAGCCATACCGGCCAGTGGTAGCACGTACTCCGGCCAATGGGCGGTTCGTCTTCCTTTCCGCCGTCTGTCTTCCCCCCGCCCGGTCCTTTTTGAGCCGTGGCCACCCGGGCAGGAGCCTCTGTCTCTCTCTCTCTCTCTCACACACCGTGCGTGTGTGGCGGGCAGTGGGTCTTGGATGTTGGGTCCTATGGCGGTTGCCCAGCCCCCCTCCCCTCTCCTGAGGATCTCCATATTGACAACTGAGCAACCCATTAGCAATGTCCCCTTGGCAGTCGCGCCTTTCGGGCCCGCTATCCCCCCCCACACACGCCCGCCCGAGTGGCGCCGGGCGTGTTGGCCGCCGGGGGGGGGGGGCGGGGGGGGGGGGGGGGGGGGGGTGGGGGGGGGGGGGGGGGGGGGGGGGGGGGGGGGGGGGGGGGGGGCTCTCCCTCGGCCGGAGGCATGCGGCCGGGGTGCGGTTGGTGGTCTTTTTCCGTCTTTCCCTCACGGCGCAGACCCGTCCGCACGGCCGCCCCCTCCTGCCGGGTGTCTCCCGTCCGGTCTGTTTCATATCTGCCAATCGAGAGCAAAGGCACCACGGGCGTCCGGAGGAGCCCCAGCCTCGCCGCCGGGCCGGGTCGCGCGAAGCCTTTTGGTCCTTCGGCCGAGAGCCGACCCGCCGCACGTCCAGAGCCCTGGACGGGTGCCCCCCCTCACGCTCGCGCCCCCCTCGCCGTGGCGGGCGTCCTGCCAAGCGGACATGGCACTTCCCGACTACCCTCCCTGGGGTGGACACGCCGGGCGGCCAGCTCCGGCCCGTTCGGGCCCGACCGTGCGCACCCTACCCGGGAACCGGCTTCCACGGCCGGGGCCGGGCTGAGCGGGGGTTCATTTTGGCGCCAGCGCCGCCGTCGCCGCCACAGAGAGGGGTGTGTATCGGGGCCCCGTGTGCCACCAGCCGCCCCCGCTCGGCGCACGGCCGAGAGGGCTGGGGCGCGTTTCCTGCGAAGTGCCGCCTGACAGCGACGGTTCTAGGCCCAGCCGGCGGGAGAGCGAGACGGGGGAGGGCTGTGATCTGGGCCGCGCCCTGGTCCTGCTGGGGGTCCTGCTCGGGGGTCCTGGTGTCCTGGTTCCTGGCGGTGCCGGGGGCGACTTGGGGCGGGGTGCCTCGTGCAGAGGCTCCCGCGCAAGCGCGCGCGGGCGCCCATCCTCCCGGCGGTCGGGCCGGGGAGATGGCACACCCACCCCTCGTGCGAGTCTGGGCGTCCAGGCCCCCCGCTCTCGCCCCCGCGCCGCCCTCCCGCGAGGCGCCTCGCGGGCGATTGCCTGTCTCGCGCATCCCGGGCCAGCCCCCCCCGGTTGTCCCCCCCCCCCCCCCGCGCCGTACTGGGGGACGGTCAAGGTGCCCGGGGGTGCGCGAGACACGCGGCGTGGCGCGCCCCGGCGCCCGGATAGACCCCCCTTTTCCCCTCCCTCGGTCGGCCCTCGGCGGCCTGTTTACTAGTCACCATTTTTGCCTCCCATGCCCCCCGGGCCGGGCATCCCCCCGCCCGGGCCCAGTGTGAGCCATTGAGTTTTCTGGGCATGCCGGGGGGGGGGCGGGGACGCCCGGGACCGAGTTGTCGACCGGAGGCCGGACGTTCGGGCGGGCGGGCGGACGGGCGCGTGTCGCCCCGTAGTTCCGCCCCGAGCCCCGCTCGGTGGAGGGGTGGCCGGGCTGGCGGCGGGGCGAGGGGACACATCCTCCGGGCTGGGAATTTCCCCCGCCCCTCCTTGCTGTGCCGGCTCTCGCTGGCTGGCCACCTGCCGGCGCCCCTGCCGCCGTTGCCCGACGAGCCCGGCCCCTCCGTGCCCTCCTCGGCCGGTGCCCCAGTCCCACCATCGTCCGGAGGCGGAGTTGCGCGAGCCGGGCCCGTGCGGGAGATGAAACGAGTCTGTCGGGCGAGCACTCCCCCTTTTGCAGCCTTCTCAGGCCCCCCCCCCCCCCCCCCATGGGTGCACAGCATCCGACCGCACGCCGGCCGGCGGGCGACAGAGAGAACCCCGGCACCCGCGCATGTGCCGCCCTGGGGGGGGGGGGGGGGGCGGCCTGCAAATTATGCACCCGGCACGCGGCATGCACCTCCCCAGCACACGCGCGCACACGAACACATGGCGACCGATTCACATTCACGCTCGCGCCCGGGCCCGCCCGCGGGAGGCCGCCGCAGGTGGCCTGCGTTGCCCGGCGGGGGACACTCGGCCTGGAGGCAGGCCCAGCATGGCGCGCGATCGGGAAACCCCCCCCCCCCCCCCCCCCCGGCACCCGCCTCCAGACCGGCCCCCCTGCACCGGGGATCTCGCGCCGGACCCGATCGCGTGTGGAGACCGATCTTCCCTCCGCCGCCGCGCCCCCACGCCTGGCGGCGAGGCGAGGGGCGTGTCTCACTGTCGGGGCTTTTTTTGTCGCACCCGACCACTACAGGGCCCCGCGCTGTGTCAGTTGCCTCTCTGCCGTCACTCGATCCGCGATCGGACTCCCTCCCCTGCCCTTCTACCCGCGCTTTCTACTTCCGCTTTTCTCCCCTCCCCCCCCCTTTCCGCTCTCGGGTCTGCTGCCTCTGCGATAGCTTTCCCCAAGCTATTCCCTGCCCTCTGCCGCTCCATATGCAACGCAGCTCCCCCCTGCAATAGCAGATCTGCCCTGATACCTGTGCGTGTGTGTGTGTGTGTGTGTGTGTGTGTGTGTGTGTGTGTGTGTGTGTGTGTGTGTGTGTGTGTGTGTGCGCGCGCGCGCGCCTCAATCCTCCTTCTCTCCTACACGCCTCAGTCAGCTGACCTATTGTCCCGTCCCCCGCTGCCCTGCTCCGCGCGCTTGTAGTTCTGAGCCTTTCTTCATGGGTCATGGCGACAGCCCACACGTCCCCAAGTCGCCTCCTGGCGAGGCGGGGGAGTCGACAGCGCCTGACCGGCGGAGCCCCTCGCCGGTGGCCGTCCTCTCCAACTTCCTGGGGGATCTGGTCAACTTGACGGTCCTTGACCTGAGTGGTGCGTGTGCTTGTTCTGCATCGCATGGGCACACGCACGCGCGCACGCGCGCACGCAGGCCCATCCCATCCCGCCCATCCTCTTTCCTCCCTCGCCCTGTTCCTTTCTTCCTCTTTCCTCCCGCCTCCCTTTCTTTTCTCCCTCTCCTTTTGGCCCTCCCTTCTTCGGCCCTTCTTCTCCCTCTATCTATCTATCTGTCTGTCTGTCTGTCTCTCTCTCCCCCGCTCACTCATGACCACCGCATCCTCCGGCCATCTGCTTGTCTCGCCATCTTGTTGCAGGCGATTCTCTCGATGATTCGGCTTTCCTCCTGTTGATGGCCTCCCTTGCCGCACTCGATGGCCCGCCCCTGAAGGAGCTCTACCTCGCCGGTACGAGCACGTGCTGCCCCCTTCCCTCCTCGTTCCCCTCCCCCCTCCC